AAGGAATAGGCTGGGCGTGGTGGCTCAGGCGGGTCACCTGAGGTCAGGAGTTTGAGACCAGCCTGGGCAATATGGCAAAACCCCGTCTCTACTAGAAATACAAAAAATTAGCCGGGCCTGGTGACGCAGGCCTGTAGTCCCCGCTACTAGGAAGGCTTGAGGTGGGAGGATCGCTTGAACCCTAGAGGCGCAGTTTGCAGTGAGCTGAGATCGAGCCGCTGCACTCCGGCCTGGGCGACAGAGTGAGATCCTGTCTCAGAAACAAAAACGAAAAGGAAGTGGAACTGGAATTGACAAGATATCCTCGTGGATTGGCCGGGAGCACAGAGGAATCCAGGAGGGCTCCCTGGCAGTGGCGGCTGTCATCTTGGGCCCTGGGCAAATGGCGGTGCTGTCTGCCGCGAAGCTGACAGAGAGGGGCTGTGTGGGTGAAGTTCCCAAGAAATTTGGAATAGAGCAGAAAGCAGGAGAGAGGGTGTGGGACGGAGGAGGCCGGTGGCTGAGAGGCCAGGGAGGATAAACCAACGATTCCTGTTGCTGACAGATAGTCCCTGCTAGAAGGGAGCCCATCACTGGCTCCCTATCCCCTTCCTTTGGCCTGGGCCTGAAACAGCGGTCCCTCCACGCCCAGCCCCTGCCACTCCCGTCCCGCCGCCCCGCGCCCTGCATCTGCCTCCTCCCCACTCTGCTCCCCGCCTGCCCCCGAAAACACTGCCAGGGAAGCCCTGAGGGCTGGAAGCTGTCACAGAACTCTTCCACCGTGACCAGGTCCCAACATCTCAACACCCTCCGCCCACCTTCTGAGGGTCTGGGGATGCGGCGGGGAAAGCACTCTGGGCAGAGGCATCTCTCCCAAACTCAGCGTACTTGCCTCCTCCTCCAGGAAGCCCTCGGGGAGCCTCCAGAGCATCTTGCTGTGTGTCTCTAGATCGGGGCCAGGGGAACCCTTGAGGACTGAGGCAGAGAACTGGTTATGGGAGACACTGAGACGCGTCTGTGTTCCCAGGAGACCCTCGTGAGGGGGCAGCCTGAAGGTGCCCATGCCTTGGGGAGCAGCCACTGAGCACTGCCAGCCCCTTGGGGGCCCTCCCAGCCCCCATTTGGGCTGCAGAGTTTCTGGGAGACCCCCACTGGGGACCCCAAGAAGGAGGTGAAGAGCCCAGCGTTGGGGGTCTTCAGCACACGTGGTAGTGACCTTACACACCGCGGGAAGGACGGCACGGCTCACAGGGGAGACAGGTGGTTTCCTTTATTCGCCCACTTGCCAGTTTCCAGGCAGCTCCACAAAGACGTGCACACAGCGGGCCACGCGCAGGCTGTCCCTTCAAACGCAGAGAAGCGAAACCGAACCGGCGGCCGGAGATCACCTCTGCCCAAGACTCTCCTCGTCCAATGCCGTTGGGCAGCCGGCCAAAAAAAACACCTGATCAAGTGGGAGGTCTGAACAGGTTGGGGTGGGGGGGCTCAGAAGGGGGTGCCCCCACATACATCAGTGCCAGGAGGTACTTGCCCACCATGGCCAGCATCCACAGGATAGAGGCATCTCCCCAGGTTCCCCAGACACGGGTCCCGGGCCCTGCTTCCACAAGGAGGAGATTTGGGGACCCCTGCCTCAGGGCCAGCCGCCGCCTACATCAGGGAAGGAGGGAGGAAAGACGAAAGCTGAATTCCAGGTGTCAGTGACACATGTCAGAGAGGGTTTTCTCTGTGAAAGGCACTCAGTGGTACAGGGCTGGGGGGGGTGGGGATGTGTCTGGGCTCCGGGTCTGTCGGGCACATCTGTTCCCGGAGGAGGCCCAGCCAGCACACTCATCGCCTGTTGGGGTGTTCACCTGGCCCCGTGGCCCTCCCCACAGGGGATGAGCCTGGCTCAGGCCCTGCTGACGTCCCAGCTGCCAAGCCGGGCAGGGTGTCTGTTAGGGCTGGGGTCCCAAGGATGCCAGCCAGGCGCTCCCCTGGGCTTGTCCACACACACGGTGGGGCCCCAGAACACGACCCCCCCAAATGATTTCAAATCCACACCGCAGGGCATCCAAAGAAAGTTTTGTTTTGTTTTTGAGACAGGGTCTTGCTCTGTCACCCAGGCTGGAGTTCAGTAGCGGCATCTCGGCTCACTGCAGCCTTGACCTCCTCGGCTCAAAGGACTCTATGGCCTCAGCCTCCTGAGTAGCTGGGACTGCAGGCTCGGGCCACCACACCCGGCTCATTTTTTGTAGAGATGGGGTGTCACCATATTGCTCAGGCTGATCTCAAACTCCTCGGCTCAAGCGATCCACCAACCTCGGCCCCCCAAGTGCTGGGATTATAGGCGTGAGCCACCGTGCCCAGTCCAAAGGACGCATTTACATCCACCCCTTCCTGCACCGCAGGTGAGTTCACAGCCAGCAAGAAACCCTGGAGTTTAGAATCTGCTTGCTGTACTGCTGGCCCACGCGGCTGTGGGGGACAGGGCCCTCCCGGAAGGGGGTGCCATCTCTCTAACAATTTAAGCACAAATGTTAAAAAAAAAAAAAATTTCTTTAAGAGACGGTCTTCTGTTGCCCAGGCTGCAGTGCAGTGGTGCGGAGTTCACTGCCCTCCTAGCCTCCCGAGTAGCTGGGACCACAGGTGCACACCACCGTGCCAGGATAATTTTTGTGTTTTTACTAGAGACAGGCGTTCACCATGTTAGCAGGCTGGTCTCGAACTCCTGACCTCAGGTGATCTGCACACCTCGGCCTCCCAAAGGGCTGGGATTGCAGGCCTGAGTCACCACGCCCGGCCAGCCACCACGCCAAGCTTTTAAAAATATTTTGGAGAGATGGGGGTCTCACTCTGCTGCCCAGGCTGGCCTTGAACTCTCGGGTTCAAGCAACTCAGCCTCCGAAAGTGCTGGGATTAAATGCATGCACCACGGCGCCCGGCCTGAAGCACACGTTTTAAAAGAAGCCAATGGAGTATTACTCAAAGGAACTACGGTTGTCCAACGTCGGGGACGAAACAGCCGTTGGTCGGCGTCCATGTGTCCAGGAGTGCAGGGGTGCGAAGGCAGGCAGGTAGCGGGGGCAGGCGGCTCATATGAGCCCCTCTCGGCCCTCTCTGCCCCTCCGGCCCCTCTTCCTCTCCCCTGCACCCTTCTCGGCCTCCCTGGCCCCCGCTGCCTCTTCCAGAGGCGGGCCCTGAGCCGGGGTCTGGGCGGCAGGAGATCCATGCCCAGGACTTTGTGTGTCTGCCGGAAGGCCAGCATTCGCAGGGCGTGCTGCGGGGCACACACCACCCGTCAGGACCCTCACTGCCCTGCTCCCCGGGTGCTAGGGACACAGGCTGGCGTCTGCGGCCACTAGCGGACAGGCCAGGCCTACCCTGTGTCCCTCGAGACACTCTCCCCCTTTTTTTTTGAGATGGAGTCTTGCTCTGTCGCCCAGGCTGGAGTGGCAGTGGCACGATCTCAGTTCGTCACAACCTCCGCCTCCCGGGTTCAAGTGATTCTCCTGCCTCAGCTTCCCGAGTAGCTGGGATTACAGGCACCCACCGCCATGCCCAGCTTATTTTTGTATTTTTAGTAGAGATATGGTTTCACCATGCTGGCCAGGCTGGTCTCAAACTCCTAACCTCAGGTGATCCGCCCACCTCGGCCTCCCAAAGGGCTGGAATGACAGGCCTGAGCCACCACACCCAGCCAAGACGCCGCTTCCTGCACAACTGCTGAGTTTGGGTCACCACAGAGCCTGAGGAATTTTCGCTTGCTGCTGGGGTGAGCGCCAGGACTGTCCCAGGGAGCCCCCGCTCCACTGACCACCAGCTCTTTCTGCCTCACCGGCGGGACCCCACATCCTGCGCTGCGAGCAATGCCACTGATCCCGTTTTAAAGGCAACGCATAAACGTCAGACCCAGTGCGGTTTGGGTTTTGTGCTGCTGGGAGACTTTTTGCAGTCACATGTGGAAACAAGGGAACCACAGGTGAGGGCTGGCCAGGCCAAGCTGTTGGCCACGGCTGGGCTTTTAGGATCGTGGTCAGGAGTGTGGCTGGAGGACGGTCCCCGCCAGTGAAACTTGAGGTCTGGGCCTGGTTATGGTGGTGGCCTTGGCTCTGAGCTGCCAGCCCAATGCCAGCACGCCAGGCCAGCCCTGTTCCCAGGTGCAGTCCTGCCACCCACAGGCTGTCCTGCTGTTCCTTTACACCTCTGTGAGAGGAAGCGAAGGGGAACCTGGGCTATTTCGGGGAACGCTGCACAGCTGTATGATGGAGCTGGGGCCCCTGCCGTGGATTCGGCGGCCGAGGGGCCCAGCCCTCCTACCTGGGCGCTGGCGGTCACGTCCTCCCGCTCCTGGGGGGTCATGGGCTCGAGGGCGTCTGTCTGGTCTCTCTCGCAGGGATCCTGGAGCCCGGGGCCGTCTTTGTGAAGGGGAGCGGGAGCGAGAGCAGCAAAGAAGGTGAGACGCCCTCATGAAAGTCGGTGACAAGCCCGTCCCACAACACCGCGGGGCCTCAGGGGCCCGTGCATGGGCTATACCTGCAGCCACGGTGCAGCTAACCCTCAGGCCTCACTCAGCAGGTGCAGGGGCTCACCCGGGCTCATGGGGAGTCCTCCCAGCCCAAGGCCCACACTGGGCTGCCAGCACCTCCCGGGTTTTGTGTGTGCGTGCCTGTGTGCACCCATGCGTGTGCATGGGTATGCTCATGTGTCCATGGGTGCCCGTGTGCACATGCATGTTTGTGTGTGCCTGTCTGCCTGTGTCTGTGTGCATGTGTGCCTGTATGTGCATGTTTGTGTGCACGTGTCTGTGTGCATGTGTATACCCGTGTGTGCATGTGTGCATGCATGTCCATGTGTGTGCCTGTGTCTGTGCATGTGTTCGTGTGCCTGTGTGTGCACGTGTCTGTGTGCCTGTGTGTGCAGGTGTGTCTGTGTGCCTGTGTGCATGCATGTCCGTGTGTGCATGTGTGCCCATGTGTGCACGTATGTCCGTGTGGGCCATCTGCACATTTGTGTGCCTGTGCACATATGTGCCTGTGCCTGTGTGCATGCATGTTTGCGTGTCCATGTGTCTATGTATGTGCGCCCATGTCCCCATGTGTCCATGCATGTTGTGTGTGCCTGTGCCCATGCATGTCCTTATGCACAGGCATGTGTGTGCATGTCTGTGCCCATGCCTATGTGCCTGCATGTTAGTACGTGTGCACATACACCTGCAGGTATCTGTTTCCGTGTGCGTGCCTGTGTGCCCATGTGCGTGCCTGTGTGCCCATGTGCATGTCCATGTGCCCACGTGTGCCTGTGTGCACTGTGTGTTCCCATGCGTGTGCATGCACGTCCGTGTGCCCGTGTGCCCGCCTGTGCATGTGCATGCCCACACGCGTGCTTTACATAACGGCTCAGGCCATGGGCCCAGGGCTTTACTCTTCCTTTTCACTTGGTATCATCCTATGTCACTGAAAATGACTCAGAAACACCTTTTTCGTATCTGACCGCCACCCCCTCACACGAGTGTATCCTGGCACGTTCTCTCCTGTGCTGGTGTAGAACGCACTGAGCCACGCAGCTGTGCCCCCATCCTCCTCAGGTACTGGCTGTTCCCTCTGGAGAATCTCTGGAGGACGGGCATCAGGGTGGCTCTGTGCCGGGGTGGCTGTGACAGGGTGGCTCTGTGCCACCGCCGCTGGGGGGTGTGGCCACAAGAGAACATAACTGCTGGCTCCTGGGTGGGGGCTGAGCCCTCCCTCCTGGGGACCTGTGTGTCTGTGTCCTGCGTGCAGGGTGGTGCCTTCCATGGCTGCAGCCTGCCTGCCCCCCTGCTGGGAGCACATGTGTGTCGTGGGCCACCCTCCTGCCTGGGCTGCAGGCTTCCTCTGTGTCTGTGACCCCAGCTCTCTGTGCCACGGCTGCGGGCCCTGGTCTCTGTGATTTGCTGCCCACCTTCTGGGCCCTTCATCCCAACAACTGACCTGGCAGGAGCGTCCCTGTGGCCACGCACTCCAGGACCCACCTCACTGCGTCCCCGGGGACCAGGGGCCCAGCTGCAGTGCTCACGGCCTTCTCCACCAGCAGCTCCATGGCCTGGTGGGGACAGAAGAGCGGTTGCTGTCCTTTCGGGGGGTACAGCAACCCCTGCCTGCCTGGGAGGTCCCAGGCGCCCTGGGACAAGGCCCCTCCCAGCTCTTTTTTTTTTTTTTTTTTTTTTTTTTTTTTTTTTTTTTTTTTTTTTTTTTTTTTTTTTTTTTTTTTTTTTTTTTGAGATGAGTCTCACTCTGTCACCCAGGCTGGAGTGCAATGGCACCATCTTGGCTCACTGCAACCTCTGCCTCCCGGATTCAAGTGATTCTCCTGCCTCAGCCTCCAGAGCAGCTGGGATTACAGGCACATGCCACCACGCCCAGCTAATTTTTGTTTTTCTTTTTTAGTAGAGACGGTTTCACCATGCTAGTCAGGCTGGTCTCAAACTCCTGGCCTTGTGATCTGCCCGCCTCGGCCTCCCGAAGTGCTGGATTACAGGGGTGAGCCCCCACGCCCGGCCTCCCAGCTGTGTCTCTAACTCCCATCATCCACTGAACTTCCATTGAAGAGGGCAGCCCATGGGGGCCTCTGCCATCTCCAGACACAGCCACGGGTTGGCTTTTTTTTTTTTTTCTTTTTTTGAGATGGAGTCTCGCTCTGTTGCCCAGGCTGGAGTGCAGTGGCACAAACTCAGTCACTGCAACCTCCAGCTCCTGGGTTCAAGTGATTCTCCTGCCTCAGCCTCCCACATGGGCTGGTTTCTTCACCCGTTTGAGCCTCAGTTTGCCCGGCTGGTCCACAGTAATATCACATGCCAGCATCATAAGCAATGTCCAACACATGGGGCCCGCCTCAGCTGAGGGGAAGGAGCCGTCCTGCCCCACCACGTCCCCGTGTGGCCAGCTCCCGAGGGCACGGGGGAACATGGGCAGTGGTGGCATCCCAAAGCAGCATGTGAGCACCTCTACATTCACAGCAGGAAAACAGGTTTCAGGGAACAAAGCCCTCCCCACGTCAGAGCAGGCCCATGCCGGTCACCCAGCGCAGAGCTGGCTGCTGTGACCTCCTCCCAGGAGCGGAGAGGACATTTCCCCTAAACAATGGGTGTGTAAGGCTGGGTGTGGTGGCTCACCCCTATAATTCCAGCCCTTAGGGAGGCAGAGGTGGGCGGATCACATGGGGTCAGGAGTTCGAGATCAGCCTGGCCAACATGGTAAAACCCCATCTCTACTGAAAATACCAAAATTAGCCGGGCATGGTGGCGGTCGCCTGTAATCCCAGCTACTTGGGAGCCCGAGGCAGGAGAATCACTTGAACCAGGAGGCAGAGGTTACAGTGAGCCGATTTGCATCACTGCACTCCAGACGGGGTGACAAAGCCAGACTCCATCTCAAAAAAAAACCAAACCCTCCCCAAAACAAATAAACGTGGGTGTCCCCTGAGGCCCTTGGTTTGGATATAGCCAAGGGTGGTTGTGGCTAGGGTGTGAAGGGGCCTGCTTGCCTGAGAACCAGGTTTTGGGCACGGAGGAGAGGGTCTGGCAGTGGGGGTGTGTGTAGCATGTGAATATCCCTTCCATTTCAGAGGCAGTAACATCACGGACATATGTGGTCATTTCCCAAACACTCATGTAGAAGTCGAAAGACTTAAAAGCTTCCATAGGCTGGGTACGGCGGCTGATGCCTGTAATCCCAGCACTTTGGGAGGCTGAGGCAGGAGGATTGCTCGAGCCCAGGAGTTTGAGACCAGCCTGGGCAATGTAGCAAGACCCCATCTCTACAAAGCAATTTAAAAATTAGCGGTGGCCTGCGCCTGTGGTCCCAGCCGCTTGGGAGGCTGAGGTGGGAGGATCACTTGAGCCCAGGATGTTGAGGCTGCAGTGAGCTGTGATGGTGTCACTGCACTCTGGCCTGGGCAACATGGCAAGACTCTGTCTCAAGTTAAAAAATAAAAATAGGCGAGGCACGGTGGTTCGGGCCTATAATCCCAGCACTTTGGAAGGCTGAGGCAGGCGGATCACCTGAGGTCAGGAGTTCGAGACCAGCCTGACCAACATGACAAAACTCCGTCCCTACTAAAAATACAAAAATTAGCTGGGCGTGGTGGTGTGCACCTGTAATCCCAGCTACTCGGGAGGCTGAGGCAGGAGCATTGCTCAAGCCCAGGAGGCGGAGGTTGCAGTGAGCCAAGATCGTGCCACTGCACTCCAGCCTGGACAACAGAGCAAGACTCCATCTAAAAAAATAAATAAGTAAACGAAATAAAAATAAAAAGGAAACTGTATTTTTTTCAAAAAAGCCTCCGTACTGGGCTGTGTTCTGGACACTGGGCAGTGGGTGGGTGGGTGTGGATAAGGGACGGGGCCCTGTGGGAGGGACCAGAGGCAAGACACCAGTCCACCATGAGACGGGGGCACCTGCAGGGCAGGGGAGGACGCCGGGTGTGGACAGCTGGCCTGTGGCTGGTGGAGGTGGTATGGGGAATAGGTGGGGACTAGGTGGGGACCTGGGGTCTCCGTGGGGAGCATGGGCATGGGGCCTGCTCTGTGAACCTTGCTGGGGGAGGGGGGTTCTGCTTCTCTTCCCTCCCCTTTCTACCAGGAGGGGCTGGGGGGTGGTGTCAGAGCCACAGGGGGTCTTCTCCCCTCCAGAGCAGGTGGGTCTGCGTCAGGTCAACCAGAGGCCAGCATGCAGCCAGGATGGGGAGTCCAGCTTCCTGTCCTCTGCCTGGGCCCCTCCACCCAGTGCCACAAGGTCAAGCGGTCACTGCTCATTTCCCTGGCCGGTCTCGAATTTGCATGCAACATTCTGTGTTTTGAATAATGGCAGTCAAATGAGGCTGTGGAGGGGGCCGTCTCCCTGCCCAGGGGACCTCAGGGGCTCCCACACCTTCTCTTGAGCACTAGGCCTCTCGCTGGCCCCTTCGAGGGAAGCCGCACTCTGGGAAAGGGTCTGTCGAAGCCATGGAGCCCCTTGGGGTTCCCAGTGGAGGGCCGGGCATGCCTTACCCAGGCTGGCAGGGCCCTCCAGGTGGGCATGCACCAGCAGAGGTCTCGCAGGACCCTGATGACGATCACACATGGCTGCAGGCCGCTGGCTCGAGCCTTTGGGGGAGAAGCGCACGGTTAGCTCTCGGGGGCTCACGGGGTCACACGGGCACCGGGCACTGTCATGAGCGTGAACCTCAGGGAGGATGACAGGGAGCCTGGCCGGCCTCAAAGGTGACAGGTGGAAGCAGAGTCCACTTCCAGATAAGTTTGGTCCCACCAGGCCATTAAGTGGCCACTCATGAGCCAGGAAGCTGATGGCGAGCGCGTCCCGGTCTGCGTGGGGAGCCCACGGGCTGAGGCGGCCGTGCCAGGTCAGGCTGATGCCTCTGAGCCACGTTCCCCAAAGCTGCCCCTCCCCCCGCTCCACCCCTGCGCCCCCGACCTGAAACCACCTGGCATGACGGAGGGCGGCCAGGGACTCCAGGCACCTCTCCCGGCTCAGGACGTCACCTGGGTCAGCCTGTGGCTCCTCCACACCTTCTAGAAGAAAAACCTCGAGGTATGTGGGGAAGGTGCCCTGTCCCGCTCCGCTCCCGACGGGGTGAGGGGCTCAGTTTGTGCCCCTCAATCCGTTTTTTTTTGTTGTTGTTTTTTTTTAAGACACAGTCACCCAGGCAGTGGCATGATCTCAGCTCACTGCAACCTCCGCCTCCCGGGTTCAAGTGAGTCTCCTGCTCAGCCTCGTGAGCGGCTGAGATTACAGGCGCCCCCCCCCCACCACGTTTCGCTAAGTTTTGTATTTTTTGTAGAGACGGGGTTTCACCATGTTGGCCAGGCTGGTCTCAAACTCCTGACCTCAGGTGATTCTCACGCCTCGGCCTCCCAAAGCTCTGGTCACCGTGCCCGGCCTGAATCCTTAGGCCTCGTTTTATTTATCTGGGGAGCGATGGTCCTCCAGCGAGGACTGGACAAACCGTTCCTGGAAAACCTCAACTTCGCGGAAGTTCCGAGCTTACCGATTGCTACTGAGGGATTTCAGCCCTGATGCTCTTGGTTAGTCAATTAGGGTGAAGACAGGAAACTATGAATTAAGCCATATTTCTAGAAACTTCCACATGCATCATGGAAAGGGAGAAAGTGGGTCAGATTTCAACACGTCCTGTCATTGACAACGACAACCCCAGAGTCTGGGAGAGATGTGGGCCCCTGTTCCCTGCCCGGTTATTATTTCTCTTTATGACTATTTTTCTTGGCCGGGCGCGGTGGCTCACGCCTGTAATCCCAGCACTTTGGGAGGCCGAGGCAGGTAGATCATGAGGTCAGGAGTTCAAGACCAGACTGGCCAACATGGTGAAACCCGTCTCTACTAAAAAATACAAAAATTAGCTGGGCATGATGGCGCGTGCCTGTAGTCTCAGCTATGTGGGAGGCTGAGGCAGGAGAACTGCTTGAACCGGGATCCGGGAGGCGGAGGTTGCAGCGAGCCAAGATCGCGCCACTGCACTCCAGCCTGGGCTACAGAGTAAGACTCAATCTCAAAAAAAATAAAAAAGAATATTTTTCTCAGTTGGGCACAGTGGCTCACACCTGTAATCCCAGCACTTTGGGAGGCCGAGGTAGGCAGATCACGAGGTCAGCAGTTCAAGACCAGCCTGGCCAACATGGCGAAAACCCATCTCTACTAAAAATTCAAAAATTAGGCAGGCGTGGTGGTGCCTGCCTGTAGTCCCAGCCACTCGGGAGGCTGAGGCAGGAGACTCACTTTAACCTGAGGAGCAGAGGTTGCAGTGAGCCGAGATCTTGCTAATGCCCTCCAGCCTGCGTGACAGAGTAAGACTCCATCACAAAAAAAAAAAAAATTTTCTCAAATGGATTACAGTGGCTCATGCCTGTAATCCCAGCACTTTGGGAGGCTGAGGCAGGAGGATCGCTTGAGCCCAGGAGTTTGAGATCAGCCTGGGCAACACGGTGAGACCCTGTTTCTACGAAAAATAAAATTAGCCGGTGTGGTGGCACACACCTGTGGTCCCAGCTATTCGGGAGGCTGAGGAGGAAGGACTGCTGGAGCCCCAGAGGTCGAGGCTGCAGCGAGCCAGGACTGCACCACTGCACTCCAGCCTGGACCACAGTGAGACCCTGTCTCTTCAAAACCAAGAAACAAAATGGGATATTTTGATTTCATTACATGCAATACTGTGGGAGACCCTGGGTTTATGTAGGTCACGTGATGGCACACGGGTTTCCCCTTGGTCCACAAATATCCCTGCTGCTCTGTCAGGGAAATTACTCCTTTGGGGCTGAGAGGGAAATGGCAGAGGTGTATATGAGGAATGTTTTTTTTTCATTTTTATTTTTATGTATTTAGAGACAGGATCTCGCTCTGTGGCCCAGGCTGGAGTGCAGTGGTGCGAGCATAGCTCACGTGATCCTCCTGCCTTAGCTTCCTGAGTAGCTGGGACTCCAGGTATGCGTCACCATACCCGGCTAATATTTATTTATTTAGAGATGGAGTCTCTCTCTGTCACCCAGGCTGGAGTGCAATGGCGCGATCTTGGGTCACTACAACCTCCACTTCCCGGGTTCAAGCAATTCGCCTGCCTCAGCCTCCCGAGTAACTGGGACTACAGGTGCCTGCCACCAAGCCTGGCTAATTTTTTATATTTTTAGTAGAGACGGGGTTTCACCATGTTGGCCAGGCTGGTCTCGAATTCCTGACCTCAGGTGAACTGCCAGCCTTGTGCAGGGATTACAGGCGTGAGCCACAGCACCTGGCCAATTTTCTTTTTTTCTTTTTAGAGATGGGGGTCTCACTGCGTTGCCCGGGCTGGTCTGCAATTCCTGGAGTCAAGCGATCCTCCCACCTCGATCTCCAAATGTGCCGGGATTAGAGCCATGGGCCACTGTGGCCAGCCTAGAAAGGGAGTTTTAGAAGCTCACGTCCCCAGTCCCCACCATGCTGCACCCGGGGAGGGGAAATGGGCAGGAAAAGGCAGACAGGAAGTGCAGTTTCCTGGGGGGCGGCTCACGGGGCTCTTCTGTCGCTGATCTGTCCTCACAGAAGGATTTCCGCTCACTTAATCACCCACCCAAGTCAGGAAAGAGCCACTGTCTAGTGGCCGCCAACGCTTTGCCCGTCCCCGCCACTTCCCGAATGCCTCTGAGTTTGTCAGGGCCTTTAGCTAGCACCGAAAGGCTCTCTCTTCGCCACCTTGTACTTATTTTTTAGATGACTATTTATGAGGACCAATCATGGCTTCCCACTGGATGATTTAAAGGTTCTCCTTAAAAAAACAAAACAAAACCAAAAACAAACAAACAAGAAAACTTAAGTTTTAAAAAACAAATGGGGATGGCTGGGCGCGGTGGCTCACGTCTGTAATCCCAGCACTGTGGGAGGCCGAGGCAGGCGGATCACCCAAGATCAGGAGTTTGAGACCAGCCTGACTAATATGGTGAAACCCCGCCTCTACTAAAAATACAAAAATTAGCTGGGCGTGGCGCGCGTGCCTGTCATCCCAGCTACTCAGGAAGCTGAGGCAAGAGAATCGCTTGAACCCGGGAGGTGGAGGTTGCAGTGAGCTGAGATCGCACCATTGCACTCCAGCCTGGGCAACAAGAGCAAGATTCTGTCTCAAAAAAAACAAAAAACAAATGGGGCTGGGCACGGTGGTTCACGCCTGTAATCCCAGGACTTCGAGAGGCTGAGGTGGGCAGATCGCCTGAGGTCAAGAGTTTGAGACCAGCCTGGCCAAGCTGGTAAAACCCCGTCTCTACTAAAAATATAAAACAATTAGCACGGCGTGGTGGCTCAGGCCTGTAGTCTCAGCTGCCGGGGAGGCTGAGGCAGGAAAATCACTTGAACCCGGGAGGTGGAGGTTGCAGTGAGCCGAGGTCACACCATTACACTCCAGCCCGGGTGACAGAGCCAGACTGTCTCAAAAAACAAACAAAAAACCCAAATCAATTGAAAGATAAACATTAGTAGGTCATGGCCCTCAGTTATGGCCAAAAAAGATTATGAACGGGTGAAAGATGAAGGGAGTTTTGCAAACTGCCCTAGAGACTGTTCTGGAAGATTCCACAGCTGGCTGAGACTTCGGGAGCACAGACACGCAGAGTGTTACCAATGCCCGCCTCTGCAGGGGTCGCTGGCCAAGACCCTCACTGCCCCCAGCCTGGCCCAGCACCTCACCCATCCTCCCAGGCCCAGCAGGTCTGGCTTTCAGCCCCCCAAGCCCCCACGTCCCTACTCAATGGCACTGGGACCTCAGTGACTGACGGACACGGTCAAACTGAGCTTCTGCTGTGACATGGGAGAAATGGCTCAGACCAGAAGCAGCTCAGACCTGCCTGCTGCCGCCGGGGCTGGTGTCACCAGCGCTGGAGAAGCAGGTGCCACCCCGGGTGAGGGAAGGGAGGGGACACGGTGCTACTCACCAGCTCACCCCCTCAACTGCCCCTCACCCCCTCTGCTGCCCCGAGGCCCAGCTCCCGTGTGACCCATGGAATCCTCAGGGGGACAGCAGTGCTGCAGGACGGCTCCTGCTGCATTTCCTGCTCAGGCCTGGGTGTGGGCAATGCTCCAGGGAAGTGTTAGGGGGACAGTGGCTGGAAGGAAGGGCTGCGCCACACCTGGGTCCGTGGAGGGGTCCTCCCGCATCAGGGGTGAGGTGACGGATACGGTGACGTGCATCCTGGGCTCCTCGCAGGAGGAGATGACAATGTTGGCTTCGGGGTCGGAGGGGACCTCATACTCATCCTCGGTCACCTCCTGGGAGGGGCAAATACAACACAAGGCCACCTTACTGCAGCCCCGAATCATGTGTGAATCAGCCAGGATGCGGTTGGTGTGTGCACGTTAACCCTGTCAGGCCTCCCACACTTGCTGCCTGGGTGCCAGGCCTGGAACCCCTGAGTGAGCGAGACACAGCTGCAGCCCTCTAAGAGCACACACGTGTAGAGATATGTGCAGACAACAGACCCTGTGATATAAGGAGCCTCCATATGTAAAGAACACCTGCAATTCAGTAAGAAAAAGACCAGAAATCCAATAAAAAACTGGTAACTGGCAGAAAAAGAAACACAAACGGCCCTTTTTACACAATGACACACGTTACCCCACAGTAGGGAGGAGTATATTAAAACTATAATGAGATGCCCTCATCTCCCGTGAGAAGGATGTAACTCAAGAGGTCTGTGTCGCAGTCTGGCCTTCCTGTGCACGGTCACCACCCTCCATGTGGCCTGTGCCCACACCTGAGCCTGGCCTCCCACCTGAAACCCACCTGTCTCCTCATCCTCCACCCCCTCCCTTCGCAGGGCCTCCCTGCTGCAAAGCAGCCCCCAGGAGCTCTGTCGACATCACGGGGGTGGATGCTGCCAGCCTCCCCACAGCCTTAGCCAGTCTCGTGGGCCTCAGGAATTGTCTTTGCCACTGGGCTGCAGGTTTTCCAGAAAGCAGGGGCTGTATCTGAACCACCGTCATGTTGCAGGTGTGCAGGAAAAGATGCAATTGGTGAAGTCAGAGCATGTCACTCCCCTGCTCAAAACCCTTTAGCCTCCCCACTTCCCTGAGAATGCAATGCTACCTCTGAGTATGGCCTTCAGGCCCAGCTTGATCCAGGCGCCCTCTCAACCCCTCACACCCACTCCTCCTTTCTCTGGGCCTCCTGCTTTGGGCTCTGCAGGTACTGGTCCTTCTATGGGGAATACTGTCTACCCAATCAGGTGCTGCCCGGCCCCTGGGCATCCAGTGCCCATGGGAAAACTCAAAGGAGTAAGGCTGAGTTCTCCCAGGGACTGTGACAGACACTCAGGAAGAAGGGACTACTCTGGGGAACGATTTTTCTTTTTCTGAGACGGAGTCTCACTCTGTGGCCCAGGCTGGAGTGCAGTGCTGTGATCTCGGCTCACTACAACCTCTGCCTCCAGGGCTCAAACGAATCTCCTTCCTCAGCCTCCTGAGTAGCTGGGATTACAGGCGCCTGCCACCACGCCCAGCTAGTTTTTTATTTTTAGTAGAGACAGGGTTTTGCCATGTTGGCCAGGCTGGTCTCGAACTCCTGACTTCAGGTGATCCACCTGCCTCAGCCTCCCAAAGTGCTGGCGTGAGCCACCTCGCCTGGCCTACTTCTTGTATCTTAAAGTTATGTTGTAACGAAGGTCCCCTGCCATCTAGGAGCTTGAGGGGCTGCGGGGAGAGGGCTGGCAGCCAGACACCGGGGGGCAGCAATGAGCAGGGTCCTTACCTCACCTGGAGCTGCCGGGGCAGCTGCTGAGCGATCTTCCGCAGCAGGCTGTGCGTGGGCTTCACGGGGCAGAGCAGAGCGAGACGCACGTTCCTGTCCCCACGCAGGAGGAGGCCCTTTGCCAGGATGCCTACCCGCATGACTCCTTTCAGGACCTGAGCGTGGGGGGCCACGCTGCTGTGAGGACAAAGCCACATACGTGCGCCATCAGCAGAGAGGCACTCAGTGCCCCAGCTGCCTCGCTCCTGAGCTACAGGGACCCTGCAATTTGCAAAGCCTCTCTATGCCTCAGTGTCCTCGTCCATGAAATGGGACGAGGCCACTCTGTCCAAGGTGCTTGCAGGATGAAATGGGACACTGTGAGATCCGTCTCGGAGGTGCTGCCACCGAGCAAGCCTCGGGGTAGCCAAGACAGTGGCCAAACCCACATTTTCCTTCCTCGTGAGCAAACGCTAAGCCCCAGGCGGCCCCGAGAGGTCTGACGCCTCCAGCGTTCATGCACTTTGTCACATGGTTGTTTTGGCTTCACATGGGTTCCAGAAAAAACAGAAAGCAATGCTTCTTTGTGCCCTTGATTCACTCGGGTTAAGAAAATTCAGGAACCCAGGATGGGCATGGTGGCTCACGCCTGTAATCCCAGCACTTAGGGAGGCCGAGGCAGGCTGATCACGTGAGGTCAGGAGTTTGAGACCAGCCTGGCCAACAAGGCAAAACCCCATCTCTACTAAAAATACAAAAATTAGCCAGGTGTGGTGGCGGGTGCCTGTCTGTAATCTCAGCTACTCAGGAGGCTGAGGCAGGAGAACTGCTTGAACCCAGGAGGCGGAGGTTGCAGTGAGCCAAGATCGTGTCACTGAACTCCAGCCTGGGATACAGGGTGAGACTTTGTCTCAAAATAATAACATAATAATAATTAAAATAAAAATTAGCTGGGTGTGGTGGTACATGCCTGTAGTTCTAGTACTTGGAAGGCTGAGGCAGGAGAATCACTTGAACCCAGGAGGAGGCAGAGGTTGCTATGAGCCGAAATCACACCACTGCACTCCAGCCTGGACAACAGAGTGGGAATCAGCCTCAAAAAAAAAAAAAAAAAAAAAAAAAAAAAAAAAAAAGGAAAAAAAAAAAAAAAAAAAAAAAAAAAAAAAAAAAAGAAAATAAGCAGCGGGCAAGGTCCCGGGTGCTGACTGTATTGGGACACTTTGCAATGCACAGTATGAGGCTCACACTTCCTCTGTGGAGTCAGTACTCTCTACTCCAGTGGAAGGAAGCCCTCAGGCAGACTGGGACAGCCAGACATGAAAGGCCACATGGTGTGTGACCCCATTTCTATGAACTGTCCAGCGCAGGCCAATCCACAGAGACGGGGGCGGGGGCCACGCGTGGGTGCGTGACACAAAGTGAGGAGTTTGCTTAATTGAGGGAGTTTCAGTTTGGGAAGATGAGACCATTCTGGGGATGGATGGGGTGACGGTGGCACAGCTGTGTGAAGCTTCATGCCCCTGAACGGGGCACTTAGACATGGTGAAAATGCTAAGTATTGTGTTAGGTAGATTTTACCAAAAAGAAAACCATTCAGGCCGGGCACAGTGGCTCATGCCTGTAATCCCAGCACTTCGGGAGGCCAAGGTGGGCTGATCACCTGAGGTCAGGAGTTCGAGACCAGCCTGGCCAACATGATGAAACCCCGTCTCTACTAAAAACACAAAAATTAGCTGGGCGTGGTGGCGCGTGCCTGTAATCCCAGCTTCTCAGGAGGCTGAGGCAGGAGAATCACTTGAACCCTGGAGAAGGAGGTTGTGGTGAGCTGAGATCGAGCCACCGCACTCCAGCCTGGTGACAGAGTGAGACTGTCAAAAAAAAAAAAAAAAAAAAGCAAAGCATTCAAAGAGGAAAGTGAACCTGCAACCTCCTGGCACTTTGGGAGGCTGAGATGGGAGGATCGCTTGAGCCCAGGAGCCCAGGAGTTCAAGACCAGACTGGCTAACATAACAAGACGTCTCTTAAAATTTTTTTTTAATTAGCCAGGGGGGTGGTGGCATGTCTAGTCTCAGCTACTTGAGAGACTGAGGCAAGAGGATCGCTTGAGCCCAGGAGTTCAAGACCAGCCTGGCCAACACAGCAAGATCCCTTTTTTTTTTTTTTTTTTTTTGAGATGAAATCTGTCTCTACGGCCCAGGCTGGAGTACACTGGTGCAGTTTCAGCTCACTGCAACCTCCGCCTCCCATGTTCAAGCAATTCTCCTGCCTCAGCCTCCCGAGTAGCTGTGATTGCAGACACACGCCACCACACCCAGCTAATTATTTTGTATTTTCAGTAGAGACGGGTTTCACCGTGTTAACCAGGATGGTCTTGATCTCCTGACCTCATGATCCACCCGCCTCAGCCTCCCAAAGTGCTGGGAGATTACAGGCATGAGCCACCGCGCCCAGCTGCGAGACCCCATTTCTACAAAAAGTTAACAATTAGCTGGGTGTGGTGGTGGGCGCCTGTAGTCCCAGCTACTCGGGAGGCTGAGGCGGGAGGATAGCATGAACACACGGGGGCCTGAGGCTCAGTGAGCTCTGATCGCACCGCTGCACTCAAGCCTGGGTACAGATCCTGCTTCTTTAAACAAAACCAAACCAAACCAGCATCTACCAGAGCAGGAAGGACTTTGAAAAAAGGTAACTCCCACTGGGATGACTTAACTCCACGGCAATGACTTAGGAGACGTAGGGACTTTCTTGCTTCCTAAGAATCACAGGGGCCTGGAGCTGATTCACACGGGTGCTCAGTGACATGAGCTACTCTGATTACTCAGTGACTCCCCGAGGCAGAGATGTCTTTTCAGAATCATGCTCAGCTTCCTTTTGCAGATGAGGAAACTGAGGTTTACAGAGACTGTCAATTCCTCATCAACTACAGGGTTTTTTTTGTTTTTATTTTTTGAGACAGTCTTGCTCTGTCGCCAGACACCAGGCTAGAGTGCAGTGGCGCGATCTCGGCTCACTGCAACCTCCGCCTCCCAGGTTCAAGCAATTCTCCTGCTTCTGCCTCCAAGTAGCTGGGATTACAGGTGCACACCACCACGCCCGGCTGATTTTTTGTATTTTTAGTAGAGACAGGGTTTCACTATGTTGGCCAAACTGGTCTCGAATACCTGACCTGGTGATCCACCCACCTCGGCCTCCCAAAGTGCTGGGATTACAGGCGCGAGCCACCCCGCCCAGCCCATGAACTACGTTTTTAGATGCGCCTTCAATGCAAAGGGAACGCCAAGGCATTAGAACAGCACGGATCACCGCTTCAACTCAGACTCGATCAGCGCCCCGAAGCTCCAGCTCTGAGATCTAGGAACTTCCCGGACCAGGGGATGGACAGCTGCCCAGGCCACCGAGGGCTCCAGGCCCCTCAGAGCTGGGGGTTCCTGCAGGGTCTCGTCCGGAGGCGCTGACCTCTGTCCTGCCTGAGAGCCGGGCCCGGGGAGGGGGATCTCCAGTCACCTGCACGTGCTGCCGTCTTCCTCTCGGTGCCCGTGGTCCTCCTCGGCCAGTGTGTCAGACACCAGCTTGAGGGCCCGCTCGGCGTGGGACACGGCCAGGAGCTCCTGCTCCGTGGGGTAGATTGCGGCATGCCTGCACATGACTTGCCGGTCCTCAGTGGATGCTGGCTGCCGCCCGGGCTGTGGGGAGAGGCCAAGTGCGTTAAGGGTGGGCTGTGGGGTCTCCTGGGGAGTGCTGGGCATGTGGGCAGGTGGGAGCAGGTGGCCGTGCCCAGCTGGGTTACAGGGCAGCAGTGTGGCCAGGCAAGAATCCAGCGCACAGAGAGCCCCAGGGTGGGGAACAGGGAGGTGCCTTGGGCTGCCCCTGATGGCTACAGGAAGCTTGGATCTGAGCGGGGGTGGGGGATTGAGGGAACCCCCACCTTTGGCCATATTCTTACATTTCCAGACCAGAGGCTTTTGAGTCAGCCTGGGAACTTGTTCCCCACAGCAAGGTGCAAATCTAAGGTTCCCATTTAGGCCGGGCGTGGTGGCTCATGCCTGTAATCCCAGCACTTAGGGAGGCCGAGGCAGGTGGATCACCTGAGGTCAGGAGTTCCAGACCAGCCTGGACAACATGGTGAAACCCCGTCTCTACTAAAAATACAAAAAATAGCCGTGCGTAATGGCGGGCACCCATAGTCCCAGCTACCAGGGAGGCTAATGCGGAAGAATTGCTTAAACCTGGGAAGCGGAGCTTGTAATGAGCCAAGATCGCACCACTGCACTCCAGCCTGGGTGACAGAGCCAGACTCCATCTCAAAAAAAAAAAAAAAAAAAAAAAAAAAAAAAAAGGTTCCCATTGACCTGCAGGGACAGGTGCATCTGAGAAGACACAGTGGTGGCCACAGAGGCAGGAGGCTCCCCAAGGGAGGTGACACCCAGGGCTCCAGGAAGCAGACAGGACCTGTGTGCCCCAGCAGGAGGGGCTGGGGTGCTGGGGCTCCCATCTATGGAGCAAGGGGGCCTGGGCCATGGCAGCCCCATCACCTCAGTACTATGTGGGAGCCTGGGACGAGGCCAGGGCCTTCTAAGGAGGTGTCCGCTGCCCCGGAGGGTGTGAGGTCACCCACATTTGTGCACAGAGGACAAACCCACCTGCCATACCTACCAGGAATGGGGCACTGGCAGGTGGCCTGGCCTGCCCTCGAGCAGAGGCGGGGGCCAGTCGGGTGACGTGTGTGACAGCACATGGGACTGCTGGTCCGGGAGCAGTGGCTCCTCCTCCAGCCGCCTGCGGGATGGAGACGGGACAGATGCAAAGTACCAGTCTAAGGTTCAGGCCAGCAGCAGCCCTCAGCTGGGGGCACGTCAGAGACGCTGGGGCCTCATGCTCCCAGCAAGGAAGGCAGGGCCGAAGCTCTCGCTGGGGCTCCACCACACTGCATGGGCGCCTGCTGTATGCACAGAAGACTGAGGCTGGGAAGGAAGGGGGCTCACAGGGTGGACCAAGACACGCCTTTAGACAAAAGAGGCCCAGCCCGGGTGGCCATGGCCCTCAGGAGGTCCTGGACCTTCCCAATGCAGACCTGCTGCTGCTGGACACACCAGAGTCAGATATTCCATCAGAAAATGCTCCGGGATAGACATGGGATTCCAGGGGTCAGGGGGACACAGGGAACATCAGAGGTCAGGGGACACAAGGGACTCCAGGGGTCAGGGGACACAGGGGACTCCAGGGTCAAGGGACACAAGGACACCAGGGGTCAGAGGACATGGGACTCCAGTGGTCACGGGTCACAGGGCACACGAGGGGTCAGGGGACATAGTGGACTCCAGGAGTTAGGGGCCATGGGTCACGGGGCACACCAGGGGTCAGGGGACATAGAGGACGCCAGGGGTCAGGGAGACACAGGGTCACCAGGCAGCTCTGCAGCTGTGCGGTCCAGTGGGTTGGCAGGCAGTGTCCCTGCGTCGTGGAGGCCCTGGCGCCCACGTGTCTGGTCCTCCCATGCTCCCACACCAGGACGTGGCCACTGCCCAGGCACCCGTCTCCCACACTGCCTAAGAGCACATATGGGGGAGCCCCACAGTCTGCAGCAGCGGTCGTCTGCTTCCATCTGGACCTGCCCTCGCTCTTCAGGCCCCCTTGCCAAGACCCGCAGCCGGGCACCTCCTCTCCGCCTGCCAGCACCGCAGCTCCTCCAGCCGCTCCTCCGCCAGGCGCCGCTGCTTCCTTATCCGTTCTTCCAGGAGACTCCGAGCACGGCTGCTGGGCTCTGTGGTGATGGGAAGGTCGGGGTTCACTTGCTTCTGGAAGGAGAGGTCAGGCTGTGAGACAATTGCTTTAGACAGGGGTGCCGGGAGGGTCTCAGGGTACGGGGAGAGGCCCGGAGACTAGAACCGTTGGGCTGAAATCTCCCAAAGTCTTTTTTTTGAGACAGAGTTTCGCAATTGTCACCCAGGCTGGAGTGCAGTGGCGTGATCTCAGCTCGCTGCAACCTCCGCCTCCCAGGTTCAAGTGATTCTCCTGCCTCAGACTCCTGAGTAGCTGGGACTACAGGCATGCGCCACCACGCCCGGCTGAGTTTTGTATTTTTAGTAGAGATGGGGTTTCACCAGGTTGGCCAGGCTGGTGTTGAACTCCTGACCTCAGGTGATCCTCTTGCTCAACATCCCAAAATGCGGGGATGACCGGCGTCAGCCACCGCACCCCACCCAAGATGCACTTTGAGACGTGAATGAAGACGTCGGAAAAAAACAATCACCCCACCCTCTGAGTTCGTGGGATCACCGGACCAGAGGCCTTCCTGGCCAGCGCCCACCTGGGCCAAGCCGCCCGGACGGGTGTCGGGGCTCCCCCTGCTGGACACACCCGGTACTGCAGCCGGTGCCGCCGCCCCCATCACGTGCAGGTCCTTGGCGTTAAGGTCGTTGAAACAGCACTGGCACAGCCTGCAATGGAAGCGAAGCACTCGCCCTTCCTCACTGCACACCTGAGGCACAAAACACAGCAGCACGCGCACCAGGCACGAGGCTGGGAGGAATGTGAGCCACCTCCGCCTCCCAGGTTTAAGCAATTCTCCCACCTCAGCCTCCCAAGTAGCTGGGATCACAGGTGTGCGCTGCTTCACTTGGCTAGTTTTTGTACTTTCAGTAGAGACAGGTTTCACCATGTTGGTCGGGCTGGTCTCGAACTCCTGACCTTGTGATCCACCTGCCTCAGCCTCCCAAAGTGTTGGGACTGCAGGCGTGAGCCACTGCGACAGCCCTTATTTATTTATTTTTAGAGACAGGCTCTTGCTGTCACCCAGGCTGGAGTGCAGTGGCTCGATCTCAGCTCACTGCAGCCTCAAACTCCTACAGGCACGCACCACCATGGGAGGCGGGAGGACTGCTTGAGCCCGAAAGTTCGAGACCAGCCTGGTCAACCTAGCGTGACCGTGTTTCTACAAAAAAAATACAAAAATTAGCCAGTCGTAGTGCTCATGCCTATAGCCCCAGCTGCTGGGGAGGCTGAGGTGGGAGGATTGACTGAGCCC